TACTCCCCAATACACACACAAATGCGCATAACATATTTTTGATACCATTCCCTTCATTACATATTTTTGAGAACCCACTCCCTTTCTTATTTTACACATTGCCTGGGACACATTGTTTTCATTAACCTGGGGCTGGGATTCTCGGCTGGGATATACTCCCCAATACACACACAAATGCGCATAACATATTTTTGATACCTTTCCCTTTCATTACAAATGTTTGATAACCCTCTCCCTTTCTTAGTTTACACATTGCCTGGGACACATTGTTTTCATTAACCTGGGACTGGGATACTCGGCTGGGATAAACTCCCCAATACACACACAAATGCGCATAACATATTTTTGATACCTTTCCCTTTCATGACATATTTTTGATAACCCTCTCCCTTTCTTAGTTTACACATTGCCTGGGGCACATTGTTTTCATTAACCTGGGGCTGGGATACTCGGCTGGGATATACTCCCCAATACACACACAAATGCGCATAACATATTTTTGATACCATTCCCTTTCAGACATATTTTTGATAACAATACCAATTCCTACCCTTGAATTGGGAATTTCGCTCCTGGCTCTACTGGGTATAACTACTATTTACCAATTTTAATTTGTGGCCTTATTTTTAAACAATTGTTATCCTCTGACTGTCTGATACAAAACAAACACATCTCATTAAAAGCTAATTCAAATGCTTTTGCCTGTACCCTATATACAGATCACAATGTAGTAAGTAATATCTCTCTCAGTACAAATCTGGTTGTGCTGTGCTATTTGACAATTGCCTAAAAAGACTCTAAATAATTCCCAATTTTGGAAACCAAATTTTCGAGAAGAATTATTATTAAAACTGGGCACCAAGATAAAGCTTTGAAAACACTGGTTTCTGGTTAAGATGGAATATAATGGCTCTTTTGGTTGTTTAAGGTTGTGCTTATTTCAAATATTTCAGAAAAATAAAAATAAACACCAGTACACAAAAAGTTACCATCAAAAAATAACCAGCGTCCCTATGAAGGACACTTGAAAAATATATACCCGTGCTGTGCATTGGACAGACACTTCTGTTTGGACTCCCGCAGATCGGGAAAATAGTACACCCTATTATCTAACTAGATATATTGCTGTTTCTGTCCAAACCGAAATTCCGTAAACGGAATAAGTATGTAAAAAAATAACCAATGTTCCTATGAAGGACACTTGAAAAATAAAAAATATATACCCGTGCTGTGCATTGGACAGACACTTCTGTTTGGACTCCCGCAGATCGGGAAAATAGTACACCCTATTATCTAACTAGATATATTGCTGTTTCTGTCCAAACCGAAATTCCGTAAACGGAATAAGTATGTAAAAAAAAATAACCAATGTTCCTATGAAGGACACTTGAAAAATAAAAAATATATACCCGTGCTGTGCATTGGACAGACACTTCTGTTTGGACTCCCGCAGATCGGGAAAATAGTACACCCTATTATCTAACTAGATATATTGCTGTTTCTGTCCAAACCGAAATTCCGTAAACGGAATAAGTATACACCAAAAAAATAACCAATACGCTAAAAAAATATACCTAGGAGCGACCACGCTCAAAGTTGGTAACCCATATACTTGTGATTAATGTACACTTAAAATAGCACACCCAACAAAAAAATTAGAGCCGTGATGACAATGAAAGTAATAACCATGCAGTGTTTCAGCAATCAAAGCAAATTAATGGAAATGGAATGCCCAAGTACGTAGTTACATGGAAGTAACCAATAAATGCAATAAATTACATTTAAATCCTGCCGACTGCGCCAAATTATGTAACGACCCAAGGTGTTGTGTTGGGGTTCGTGCAGTTTCGTGGGGGTTGATTTAATAATAAAGGGGTCAAACAAAACATTTAGGTTTGAGGTCATCAATAATCAACATTACTATATTGTTTAATTATAAGTCATAAGGTACATGAACATGTTACAAAACAATAAGAAATGCATACAAATGCAACTCCTGTAACCTCAATACTAATTAAATCTAAGTACAATGCCTGGACTGATAGCTTGATATTATCACACAAAATAATGTCAAAGAAATCATGTGTTCAAAGTACCTGTAAATAATGCATTGATAACTCACCCCAAAACAACCAAGTGCCTGCGACTTAAGTTTATATCCAAGATGGTGACAAATATATATCCGACTAATTGATAAACTGAACTCCTTAATTGATTCCTAGTCCAAATATCCACAAAGACTGTACAGGAGCTGAAGACCTTTACCCAAGCAAGCCAGGAGCGAGACTGAGGTCCTGAGGGTGAACATTTACTTATATACCCCTGAGACCCCAAGTGCAGCTTGTACAGAGGGACCAAGACATTGAAGCCATTGATTGGTTAACTTGAGTACTAAAAGACTAAAGGACATCCCTAAAACTGACCATGACAAATTATGGACCAATGATTGGTTAAGTGACTGAAGCAAATGTTAGAATGCAGTTGGTACTGAGGATATTCCATAGTAAAAGACTGCTTGCACCAAAACTCAAGTGGACTGAAGATGACCAGACTGTAAAGTGGAAGTGTGCCTACTGTCTAAAGACCACCAGTCTCTATGAAACCCAGAACTAAGGCTAGATACTGATACATGATTGGTTGACAAATGACAATTGAGTTTGGCCATTATATGAAGACCTTCAGCCTTTATGTAAATGCAGAGATAACTGAGAAATTATACATCCTAATGCCCAAATCCGTTACACTATTTTTACATAAATTGTTTCAATTTGGTTATTTGATTGCTTATTTTTTAAATTCAAAGTACTCACAAACATTACTGTTTTGACAATAGCCGTAGAAGGCTTAGCCTTTGTTGATTTTTAAAATTTGGATATTTGCTTCCAAATATAAAGCCTTGTAACAACCCCATTGGAAAACGCTCGATTTTATCATGGTTTATATCCAATAAATTACATGTACTTCGTAAGATTACTCACTATGTCATATATCCATGCTCAACTCAAATAATACCACTGTTTCTACCGTCCTGCTATGCCAAAGTATATCCAGACTTGCCAACTTAAAATGAAAATTTTTCGGGAGATTTAAAAAAAATTGCGGTACTTTTACGGAAGTTTTTTTCAAAATCCGGTAGTTTTTTGAAAAAAAGTGGGAGTTTTCACGGGAGATTTTTAAAAAAACTGTAGTTTTTACGGGAGATTTAAAAAAAACGGGAGTTTTTGCGGTAAATTTTGAAAAAACTGGAGTTTTTACGGGAGATTTTTTAAAAAAGGTATTTTTCGCGGTAAATTTTAAATAACGTGACTTTTTTACGGAAGATTTCAGAAAAAACGGGAGTTTTTGCAGTAGGTTCTGAAAAAACGGGAGTTTTTGCAGTAGGTTCTGAAAAAACGGGAGTTTTTACGGTAGGTTTTAAAAAAACTGGAGTTTTTGCGGTAGATTTCTGAAAAAACGGGAGTTTTTACGGTAGATTTCTGAAGAAACGGGAGTTTTTACGGAATATTCTGAAAAAACTGGAGTTTTTACGGTAGATTTCTGAAAAAACGGGAGTTTTTACGGTAGATTTAGAAAAAAACTGGAGTTTTTACGGTAGATTTTTAAAAAACGGGAGTTTTTACGGTAGATTTTGAAAGAACGGGAGTTTCTACGGTACTTTCGGAAAAAACGGGAGTTCTTACGGTAGGTTTCTGAAAAAACGGGAGTTTTTACGGTAGATTTTGAAAGAAATTGGAGTTTTTACGGTAGATTTCTGAAAAACGGGAGTTTTTACGGTAGATTTCTGAAAAACAGGAGTTTTTTACGGTTGATTTTGAAAAAACTGGAGTTTTTACGGTAGATTTATGAAAAACGGGAGTTTTTACTTTAGATTTTGTAAAAACTGGAGTTTTTACGGTAGATTTTGATCTGTTTTTGATTTTGATCTGTTTTGATTATAGATACAACATTTTATTACTTTTGAAACGAATTGATCAAAGCTAAGTAAAATGTATATGTGGCGTTCACTATATGCTAAGGGCAATCTGCGTGAGGTTCCATTTTTAGGTTCGGTTTTTCGCGCATGAGCATTAAAGCCAGCGATTTAATTGGTTGACATTATTATGACGAATGCGCAGTTAATAAATTATTATAATCTAAGATAGATGTCACTTACGTTCATTATTTCACAGCAGTCCCTACCCATAATGCGCCTTATATTGCGGGAATATTTTGTTTAGCGCCATATAAAAACAAAATGTATTCTCCCGACAGCAGTATGACAGAATATGAACTGGCCCCCATTTGTGGACATGGGAATGAAGTACTTTTAAGTTATTTATGAAAGTATCGATAGTGAACCATGGGAGCCAATCCTTCTTGGAGTAAAAGAAAGAAGCGTGCCTGCAATAATCAAGGTCACAAATTTGTCAAATTCCTTTTAAATACGGTAGATTTCGACAGCAAAAAACGGAGATTTTACGGGAGTTATACCAAGAATACGGGAGATTTAACGGGAGTTATACCAGTAAACGGGAGATTTTACGGGAGTTATACCAAGAATACGGGAGATTTTACTGGAGTTATACCAGAATACGGGAGATTTTACGGGAGATTTCAGCAAAAATACGGGAGATTTTACGGCCATATTTTTAAAAAAAATTACGGGAGATTTTAGTAGAAATACGGTACGGGAGTTTACGGGAGTTTTTACGGGAGAAAACGGTACGGGAGTTTGGTATTTTTTACGGAAAAACATAAAATTTACGGGAGATTCCCGTAAAAAAACGGGAGGTTGGCAAGTCTGATATCCTAAGTAATAACTAGACTCATAAAATGAACTTCTTTCCGAGCAACATTTTCACATGTCTTTCTTCCTTCCCAACATATTGTTATGTAGCAATCGGTAATATTGCAGTTGGTGTTCAGGCAAATGGCGTTTGACATTTGCTATCTGTAACAAATGGCAGGTGGTAACATTTTGCATGTTAATGCCTTGTTTATCTTTACCATTCTTTTTCCAGTGCAAGAAGGTGTTTGAAGCTGTGCTATTTTGATGGGGTTGGTGCATGGTAAAGGCAGGAAAAAATCACATGGACGTATGTCTGGAAACTTGAAACAAATGGATGACCCAAATAAATACCATGACATCATAAAAAACATATTAATTGATGAGTTAGCTGTACCTTACCCTGTGACGCAACTAATACTTGATTATGCCCAAATATGGAAGTCACAGACTGCAGAAAGCAAAGAAGAGCTTGAATATGGCGGTGATAATTTAAACCTGAAGTATTTAATAATAGAATACCCTAGCGATTTAAAAATCCTAAAGTGTGTTGATGTCACAGTTGAGTCACATGATCAGGGTTGGGCTAGTGGTCCAGGATCTTGGACTTGGGGGGAAATCGCAATTTTCCGTGATACAGTTAATGCCGATTTAGAGCATACTGAAACCGAACTCTCAAATCGAGTCGATGTCTACCGCAATAAGAGAGCGTGTAATGACTTCCAGAGACACGAAAAAAGGATATACGCCCCCTTGTCAACTCAGACCAATGTTTTGTCTCATTTTAAGGAAGATACACATATTGGGTTATGGTTACGATCCAGATTTCCTGGATGGGCTAATTATACCAGGTACGCCAAGATAAGAGTGTGGTACACATGATCACTTGTGAAGTTAGGGTATAACATCATTCAGAATGTTGTTACATGTATGTAGATTTTTTTACCCTTCTTGTCAGCTTAACACATAGGCCGATAGGTGAGAAAATGTGAAAAATACGCCATAAGTGGATTGTTATTCAGATACTTTCGGCTCAGTCTCTTGGCCTCTCACTTGTCATAGCTCTGACATTTGCAATGATATATAACATAGAATCTGAGTTTTTCAGTATTTCAAAACCACTGCCCAGAAATGTTAATAAAGACAGGCCCATAGCCAGAGGGGGGTTTTGAACCCAAAGTCAAAAGCTGGCTACGGGCCTGAAGGACATCCAGAATAAACTTTACAACATCACCCAAGATGTCAATAACAACAGGGCTATATGCATCTAATATAAAGACATGAAGGAATGTGTATTGTGTCAGTGCAATCAATATGTTTCAGCTTAAGAAAACACTCAAAGTCAAAAAATAAGTTTTTGCATTTATTTTGTTTATTTTGAACACAGCGGTAAAAATTGAAAGCATATACAGTAAAACATGTAAAGTGGAACACCTCAAACAAATCTGTAAGTGGAACACCTCTGTTAGTAGAACACCTGCTCCAAGAGGAACATTTGACTTTTCAGTCTCAAGAACTTTTGACTATTTTGATTATTGGAATAATTTTACTGAAAATGCAATTTCATTTTTATGTCACCACCACAAGTGACATATTGTTACAGTGTTCAACTTATTTAAGGACAATATTTTGCAGTCAGCGGTTGGCATCTGTAACAAATGGCAGGTGGTGACATTTTGCATGTCAATGCCTTGTTATGTATATGACACTTGTAATGATAATATTCTACCAAACACAATCATATACAAAAATGTGCACAAAATATATAGTTAAAGTCACTTTAAAATACTGCTAGTTTACAGACATACATGCATTTTCAAATGAAGATAGTCAAAATGATGTAAAAGTTATGTAACAAATAAAATATATATTTGTTTCTCATTAAGGACTAAAATTTTATGTTACTCAGTTCTAGTAATTGACCATGTGTGTTTGGAAGGCTAGATGTAGCATTTACAATGAGGAAAACTGACAAAAATCACTAAATGTCTTGATTTATTAACCATATTATATTTTAAAGAAAAAGGCTGACTATTTTCAGAAAAGTTAATAATCCTTGGAAATTGAATAAAATAACTGTGTTAATCAAAGTTCTAAGTACGAGTTGAATATGCAAATATTTTAAAATCTCATTAAAAATGAAACTTCAGCGAGATTTCAAACTATATAGCTAATGGTTAGATATGGCTCTGCAGGGCCTATTGGTTGAAATTATTGAAGATTAAATAAGAAATCCAAATTCTTTGGATTTGAAAAGGGGACATTCTTGTTTTATTTTTTTTGCCAGATAACGTACCTTCGATATCAAAGGATTATCCAGAAATATAGTCAGAACTGTTGACATGGGCGTAGTGCCTAGTGGTGTCAATTAACTGCTTGAGCATTAACCGGTTAACCGGGGGTTTTTACCGGTTAAAGTCGGTTAACCGGCGGGAAATTTGAACTGATAATTTCAAATGAAATCTTCATCTTCGATCTTGAAAGTTGAAACAAAATGGAAAAATGATATATCGGCGTTTATTTTTTACGTTCGTCAAGCTTTACTCTATTCTATGTAAGTAAGCGCGGGAAAGCAATGTGGCAGGGATTAAAGTTGCTGATTGGATGTTTGTAAGGAAATATCGGACCTATCACATGTATGAGTAGCTCACATGAAACTGACGCTTGAAAAACAAACAGATTAAAATGCAAAGTAAGCGCGGGAAAGCAATATGGCAGGGATTAAAGTTGCTGATTGGATGTTTGTAAGGAGTTATAGGACTTATGACATGTATGAGTAGCTTATGTGAAACTGACACCATAAAACCAAACGGATTAGCATGCAAAATAAGCGTGGGAAATCACAGAATTATACATGGTCAACTAACCACCCATAAAAACACAGACTGGTCAAGGCATTATCGGCGGTTAACCGGTTAACCGGTTAATACTTGACACCTCTAGTAGTGCCTATTAAGCAAAATATGCGCAGGCTTACCAAATGAATTTGAAAAAATTAAGGATGCATTAATTTATTTGCGAATTTATTGATGCTTCCTACCGTATCTGTATGTTTACCATTGTCAACATTTAAAGTTGATGAAAACACTTAGATTCCATCAAATAACGTTCTTGAAAAAACAATTTCGCGGGGTAGCATACCATCGGACCCCCCCCCGCGATGCGCGGCCTTCGACCACGCAATCAGGCATCCCAGAGTGTGCATACCAACTCAAAATATAGCCATGGTTGGCAACTATAAAATGCAAAACTATACAGGCCTAATAAATTTAAACAAAGCAACAATATACAAAGGCTCCAAGCAAGACTAAATAAAGAATGGTTTTATTTGGGCTGTGAACATTAGGCATCTACAATTATACTGTTATATAGGAAGCATTCTGACTAAATGAGAAATATCCATAATAATCTTACATCATCCCTCTATTATCTGTTCCCTTTCATGTCTTGTATATTGAAGGTGTGGATGTCATGGGTAGGGGGTACACAAGGGAACTATACAAGACTATGTATAAACTGTAAAAAGCATTTAGACTTAATTAAAGATGGCCATAGTCTTGCATCCTTCCCAGCCCCCTCCCTTAATAATATGTCTAATTTATGGATGTTAGGATGTCATGGGGAGGGGGTACACAAGGGCACGATACAAGACTATGTATAAACTGTACTAAGCATTCAGACTTAATTAAAGATGACTATGGTCTTGCATCCTTCCCAGCCCCCTCCCTTAACAATAATATGTCTAATTTATGGATGTTAGGATGTCATGGGGAGGGGGTACACAAGGGCATGATACAAGACTATGTATAAACTGTACTAAGCATTCAGACTTAAAGATGGTCATTATCTTGCATCCTTTCTAACCCCCTCCCTTAACTTTATGTCTACTTTGAGGATGTCATGGGGAGGGGGTACACAAGGGCATGATACAAGACTATGTATAAACTGTACTAAGCATTCAGACTTAATTAAAGATGGCCATAGTCTTGCATCCTCCCCCATCCCTTAATTATTTCCCTTCTTTGGACGTGCTATGTTGGGGGTTTGCATTGGTTTGATAAGTGCATCATGAATCAGTTCGCTGCAACCCCCTCCCCCATCCCCATAACTATTTCCTACACTGTGGATGAGTGGATGTTTGGGGTATTCAGTGGCCTGATGTAAGACTATGGTGGGCATCTAAGCATGGCAATTTAAGCACATTGTTGTTAATGTTATTATATAATTCCAAGGTCTACTGAGTTGTTATCACTTGTATCATCATCATTGTCATCGTAAATGTTCATCACCGCAAAATCATCAGCTGGAGTTGTTGAGTTTTTCTCCATCTTTTGCCCAGATATATCGTTTATTGCACTATTTTCAAAGCTCCTCATATTTTCAATCGATCTCACCGATGAGCGATCATCGCTTGATGTAGATTCAGCGCTAGTATTTTCATGATAGCTGGTTGATGGAATATATTGAACGATGGCCTTATCCTGGTTTGGTGTATGTATTTTATTGACACTGGTACTGCTCTGCACTTTTTTCTCTAGGGACTCTTCACGACTGACTTTTCTTTTGTCTCGTTTCCAATCCTTATAGACCACTTGGAAGGTATAGGAAAGCACCAAACATACCTCCTTGGCTTTGTCCTTTGAGGAACATAACACAGCATGGCAATCAAAAAACCTAGCACCATCGCTCTTGTAAATCCAACTGAAAATCTTTTCATTGGTTGTTTTCTCAGCGCAACAATAAGAAATATCCTCAATTCCGAAATGTTTCATATCTGGTTTTTCTTCTGATTTTGGCTTTTGTTCATTTTTCAATGTGATCCCATTTTGATCTATTGTCATGACAACCTTTGGAAGGTCATAATCGTCTTTTTTCACGATATTGTTCCAGATTTTTTGAACAGGCAATTTTGTGCATCCTTTTCCACATGGCCTGTCTGTGATGCACCTACCAAGGTATTTCACATAGAATACTGGATTTTTAGCCGTAATATGTACTTTTTCTTTTTTCTTACTGAACATTTTGACACAATAACTCCGTTTCAATAACCTCTCTTTAAATCTGTCTATACTTGTACAACATATCCGTTAAGTACTCCACATCCATAAGTTTGTTGAGCATTAAATTTGAAATTGGGTTTTATCATTTTTATAACCCCTAAATGTCGCCCTATATCAATATAATTAATTTAGTTTAGGTTAAGTTGGCTTTCCTCCAATCAATTTTTTCCTTTAGGGGAAAACTGTGGCCGTACTACCTGAATGTGTTTCACTACCATTGCATATGGATCTATTGAACACAATATTATTTCATGCCCTTACTAATAATTTCACCTTTTTCTATGTTCTCAAATTATATTTTGCATTTCACGATTGTTTGGCTCTGGCTCTTAGAGCTGTGCGCTTCACACATGCTTTCAACTCCTTGTTATTATTAAACTTGATGCTGATACTTATATTTTGCTCAAACAACACATAGGGTTACATATACTTCAAAGGGAATAAAGAATCACATTACGGAATATTGAAAATTTGTTGAAAAAAGAGAGAAAAAAAACATTAAGTGAACAACCAGAAATTGCATACTTTATATAAATTAAGTAAAGTCAAACTTTGTTTTAAAACTTAAGAGTTAAAAGCTGTAAAATAAGCCTGGACAGAGAAAAAATTTGTAAGGGAGAAACGGATATTGAATACAGGCTATGAAATTTGGATCAATATAATATTAATAAATCATGAAACTATTGTCTCATTAATTTGCATGTCAGCTGCTGATGCTGAATTATTAATACAGCTGAAGATTAGATTGGGTCGTATTTAAAAAGTGGATTGGAATTTTATTGCTTCATCAAGCTTTAAAAATTAACAGGATGTTCCAGTTTTTGTAGAAAACTACTGATGATGTCATTTTTCATATTGAGGATGTTTTTCCTTGTTTTCTCAGCATTTTTCATCCTCATTTTTCATCCTTTTTGAATGCCTGATTCTTGAAAATATAATGATTCATATAACTAAATTAGTGTTGTTTTGTTATGAAATCAAATATAAAATGACTTGTTTTATTTAGGAGACTACCTTATTGTAGTCAAAATGTGTAATTTTATATTTTTGCATATTGATTTTCTTTATTTGCAATGAAAAGCTTTTTGGCTTTTGAAAGGGAATAATAAAATGTTTTCAAGTGTAGTGTATTTGTTTTTGCCTTACAAAATTGAAAGCTTTTGAGGAAATTACATTTTGAGGGATCGTTAAGTTTGCAATGCTGTTAACAGTTAACACTCATATTTTTGTTATTTGTTGAATCACAGCAAAGTATATTGTAAAGTGTCACCAAGGACGTCTATTTCCTTGGTGTCACATTCAAAAATGGCTGTCATATTGAAAAATAGATTTTCAGTTGAACCTATCTGAAAAATATTTTTTTTGTAGTGAAATAATGATGACATTACAATTTTTGATTTTCCAACAAAATACTGTTAAAACTAAACAAGAGTGGCCGCCATCTTCTTTGAATCAGTTAAGAGCGAAAAATCTTAAAACCCTTTGAATAGTGCAGTGGACCCCCCCCCTTAAAAAAGTTACATGTGATAATCAAGGGTTAGTGTGGCACAACTAAAGACTTTAATGTCTAGTACATGTGCTCATAGATGAAGCTCTTTGAGATGCAAAATTAAACAATTTGAAAGCTCCTGAAAAGTTGATCTGTACAATAGTGACATCTATCAGTAGGAAATAACTTTAAACTCATACACTGATCATCATAATTCACTTGATTTCAGTTGATTTCAAGTTAGAACCACTTCATGAGTTCGAAAAATCATTACTTTTAGAAATTTTTAAACAATGTTTATTTCCTAATTACCTATCAAGTAATTAACCTTTATATATGTCAATTGTTATTTGAGATGTGTGCTCAACCAAATAAAAATTACAGTAAAACCTGTCTTAGTGAACACCTCTCTCTAGTGAACACCTGTCTATAGTGGGCACCCTTCATCGGTACTCTACTGATTTCTGTGGTGAACACCTCCCAACAGTGAACATTTTTTCTCAGCAAAAAAATGTTCAATATTATCAGGTTTTACTTTAGTGAAAAATTTGAAATTAGTGAGGCTTTGACCTAAGGCTTAACAGCAAATGGATACCAGTATATCATTTGCAAATAAAGTAATGTGTTGCATGATTGAGATACATGACTGTATATCTGCACTATAGCAATCTCAATTTTTTTTTAAAGCAGATAATTTTTCAATTTATTCCTTAATAATATAATAAAATACAGTACATATAAAAGGTGACATCAGGTGACATCATTTCTGATGTTTATACCCATTTATACCCGTCTTGATTTTTTATCAGCTAATCATCCTTTTTGAATTGTGTTTAACACATGTATCTACTTTCACTTCATATTATGTCTTGTTATATATTTTACAGTTGTTTTGATAGCCTTTTGCGCTACAAATATTTTCTCTTTAGACAATTTGCACATTTATCTCTGAAAAGCTTAATTTCTGACATATCTTATGTTCAAGGGGCGAAGTTGAGTCTCTTAAGCCTTGGAACAACCCAATATTGTGTTTGAAAAAATGCTCTGATCTCAGATCTATACTCATATACTTAATATAAGATATTTATGTGCAATGGGCAAAGTTGAAATCCTTTCGCCCAAGGTGAATTACTAACTAACGAGCATAGTGTAACAAGCCAGATAAAGAAATTGAAAGAAAGTGTGCTAAATTCAATGCCCCGCATGGGAATCGAACCCAGGATGCTTGGATCCGAAGTCTGATGCTCTACCGAATGAGCTGTAAAGGTTTAAGCCACTACATCTGGACTGTAGTAGCAACTTCCTATCAAGGGTCATTACAACATCTTAGGGATGGTCTAATTATTATATTGAAAGTTGTGGAAAAACAAAATTAATCTTGTTAAGGGTTGAACTCCTCCTCTAATCAAACAACATTTTGAAAGGCCAATTTTTTCTTTCACTTGAATATTTGAAAAAAAATCAACACTATTTGCCAATGAAACCAACATTTTTACCTCCTCCCCTTTGGTTTAACCCCCCTCCACTCATCTAACAACATTAAAAAGGATGATTAATCTTACACTTGAATGAATATTTGAAAAAAATAATATTATCTGCTAACGAAACCATCATTTACACCCTTTCCCAACGAAACTAACATCATAATTCCACAACTGTTGACGCATGTACACATAGGCACATGTACAATAGGTGTTGGGATGAGTTGTGGGTAAATACAATTCTAATGGCAAAATGTACAAAATGCAGTCTAATTCTCGAGTTCGATGATAAAGTTGAGCAAAGAAAATCTACTTGGATATTTACTCCCAACTTCCAATATGATGTGGTGTGGCACAATCAAACACAATGTGTGTGTGTTAAAATCAATGTACAGCGACTTATGAACAATAACTGATAGTCCTGAGTAGAAAAAGCAATAAAGTAAATTATATTTTGACATATATAATATCTCCAAACCTGATTTTACACAAAACACAATCGCGAGTTGTGAAATTGTGTTTTGTCTTAGCACAACCAAATAAATGCGACGTAGCTCACATGGGAAAGTAGTACCTATGAGGTAATTGAAGTATTACTCCGCCACACACTTGTTTATTACAATTTATGAAATCAATTTAAAGCAGCATACCAGATTGAATTTGATTCTGCCATAGCAATGGATGATCTACCATTTTAAAAAATACAACAGAGAATATAAAATAACAAGCGATCGCGAGTTAAAGGGAAAATTGTGAAATAGTTCGCGTGGAATCATTTACTATGAGCAGTAATTTGGCCATCCGCCATCATACCATTGGGAAACCTGCGGTTGTCGGAAATTTGCCCGTCTTTATGAGGATTTTGTAGCATTCAGCGATCGATTTATCACTGGTTTACATTCTCTCTACTTAGTGGATATATTCAGGAATACATACCCGTAATTTTTAGGAGTGTACACCCTGCCGAATTCGAGTACAAGCGATTATTACTGGTGAATACATCCCCGGGAATCGTGAAACGACGTGAGTACCAATGCACTGTTCGAAATTTGAGCGATTTTCAAAACGCCTTTGTTTCTTTGCGTCATGTTTAATGGCTATTGGAGGTATAATGAATCTCAAAACCTATACCAATGTCAAGATCATATATTCAATCAATATATTACATCAAAAATACTATGTTTGAGTTATTGGAATAGTGGTAAAAACCGTGACATTTATGACATATTCCACAGCAGCCAACTGTTACCGTTAACCCTTTGCCCCTCATAAGATCTCTTGCATGATAATTTTGCACACATGTCTGTTATTTATTCACAAAATACATGTTGTTAATTCCCAATTTGTTATACACTTTTCTATTGACCAGGAATATTTTCAAAATATGTGATAATGATAGGAGCAAATTAGGGCTGATTACTCCCCCCCCCCGCCTGCATCCCCTATGAAAATTCATGTACACAACCTACAGGGGCGGAGAAGGGAATGGACCAAGAGTAGACAACTAGAGTCCATTTCACTGTTTTATTGCGTCAGTAGAACCCCAAAAATAAGAATCTACAAAGATTTAACCTCAATTACGTTTTAGATCCCTTATTATAATCAAAATCAAACTAATTTGAATGGGTACATGGCTGTATAACATTACATGACATGTATATTGTAACAATAGCTTTTTTTCTTGTAGACATTGTATCTTATGCCTGCTGATTATAGTAACATTTTGCATCAATGAGGCTTCAAAGCTTTTCCAGAACTAGCAGTCCCCATCGTGAGATATGACAGCCTCCTGTCAGTTTCCTTCTTTTCATGGCAGAGATGGTTGGAGTATCAGAATGAGTAGCCCCCCCCCCCCAGTGTAGATTAGACAATGGGAATTTTATGTTATTATGCCATATATACAAATAATCACTTTCTTGGCAACATGTCAAAGTAGACTGTTGAAATATGACACAGGTCACCATGAATCGTCATTGAATGTCATTTGTGATTTGTTTATTGTATTGAACATCAACAGTCAACACATGTAAGCAATATGGCCACTGAAATTGGGATGATATTAATAAATCTTGCATATTGATTCTGAAATACCATTGTTTCACAATGAAAACCCTCATGTTCTCTTTCTACAAAGACACCCCTCCCCCAATTATCTTTCTTGAATTATTTATTCAGTGTAGCTTTCCTATTTATGATGCCACAAGGGCATAAATATAAGATTATTTTGTTTTATTATGAAAACCCCCATGTTCTCTTTCTAAAAACACCCCCCCAGGCCATTATCTTTCTTGAAGCATTTGTTCTTTTTTTATTAAGCACACTATATCACAAGGGAGACTTGATATATATATAATATTTCTGAGACCACGAGTTAATAATAAGTATTTAATATCATATTCTTATTTCTACTGACGCATGTAATTGTTGAAACTAACAGATGAGTCACGTAATCAAGATCCGACAAAAGGCCTGTTCTCATGGTTACTAAACATTTGGTATTAGAGAATAAGAGATGCATGTTTCTAGGCTGAATTACTCTTAATAATTCATAACGATTAGCCTGATCATTCGGTATATTGTCATACTGCATCTATTTTTCTTTTATCACACTTCTCAATGTGCTATATTATTGTAGTCTTATGGGTATGTAAGTCATGCATATCTGTCTGTTTGTTGTTGTCAGTTTGTTGAGCTCTGGTTAGTACCTTTATGTTTATTCATTTTGGACAGACATCTCCAGCGATACTCATGATTAATATTTTGCCACCGTAACTTATATGTTGATTTTAAACTGAATTCGCAATGAAAATGCTCTAAGATCTGGTACTTTAATTTCTCACATGTTTGATAGTGCGGGTGTTTAAGGGGTGTCTCCTGAAAATGTTTTCTTAGAGCAAAAAGGTCAAGTCCTGTGATCATAAGAGAAAATGGTTAACCAAGAAATAATTAAGAAATATAGACTGAAGAGCATGGGGTAATATTGTCGAATACACCCCGCTGGGCTAGGCACAAACATTTTCTGTAAGGCGAACGTCCGAAGGCCCTGGCCTATAAGTGTATTGGACGATATAACACATGCTCTGAGGTCTATATTACGATTCGAACATGAAAACTCGACAAAAAGTTTTGAATATTCATTATGGTCTGCCATTACTACGTCTCACCATTATGACGTCACATTACACGTATTACCAGGGGTAATATTTGCGAATATACCTCGGGTGAAATGTTGTCTTTGTTTACAGTTTATAGAAGGCGTGAATACAGTCATGTTCGAATGTATATCATTACTTATCCCTGTTAAATAGTAGGAAATAGGAATCCTTGTAAATGTCACACTCTAAATGAGATTTGTGTCCATTATAAAGATTTCCAAGCCTCAAGATCAGGAAAAACATAATCGGACTGATTGTAAGCCTATGTGATGCTACTGGTCGTTAGCCTATGTGATAGCAAAAGATGCCAGCCATTGTCATTGCCAGCCTATTTGATTTTACCGATTGTTTTGTGGTGCCAACTATTTGCCATTGATTGTTATTGTTAGCCTATATGATGCCATTGCCATTGATTTTTGGCATAATAGGAAAATGATTCCGTGCATTATAAGTCTTGGTAATTGTTTCTTGGAATTGGAACCTGATTGACGTCTGTGATGTCATCACCTATTTTCTGAAAAACCAAGCATTAATGACCTCATTAACATGTTTCATGCTGTTGATGTAAAGAGTAGTTTGACATTTATAGCAAGCAGTGACATTTAATTTCAGTGTGCTGTGTGCCAATAATAATACAAGGTACTTAGCAGATAATTAAATGAAATCTGGTTGCCATAGAAACTGCCCACAATATTGTGATATTGTGATTTCTCTATATGATCAGATTCAGCTTCATGCATTTCGAGTGCACGCTATTCTGTTAATCATCACATCTTTAACTAGGCTATGTACTTATGATGGATCCATAATGTGTAAGATTACAGAGATTTTAATTCTATATTTGTCATCTTTGGTTTACAATGTTGAGCCTATGAAAATGTCTACTCATCTGTCTTTCTGTCTATCAACGGTTATTGGAGATTTGGATGAACCAATGCTCATACTATGAATATCATGGGGTTCATGTTGATAATTTATTTTCATGTTCATCTCATATTCTCTCTCCAAATAAACTGATTTGGATGGTGTTGATATTTTGCAAGTACATACACATCTTGTATTTTTAATTCAGAGTGTCAATTTTAATGAAATTGGCAATATCTTTAATTTATTTGGATATTAACAAATTCTTGGAGAATACAAAGTTCAAAATCAAAATATTTTTTAAGAGTATGTTTAACTGACGTTTCTCCAAATTTTTTTTTTCTGAGAGCGTGAAACAAGGAGTTGGGAAGACCCCCTTCCATGATTCTTTCTCACTCTCACTTATACTGTTGTTGGCATCTCCTGTCATCAATATTCTGTCATGTCTTATCTAAAATTAATTTATCTCCTGGAAAAGTGAAGATGTCTAATTTTAGCATCAGTTTCTCTTTCAATGGTTCAGTCCTGCTTCTTTAAAGAGAGCTTCATCTTATATACATAGATGTACCAGGCTGTGGCTTTTATTGTATAGCTATATTAGGAACAAAGGGGGGGAGGGGTTGTACATACAGAGTGAGAGACTATGAATGACTTTGCTTCTTTTATTCAGAGGACGCTACATGTAGTTACATTTTATTGCCAGCCTATAGGTTTCTTAGTACGTCTTAAGAACCACCAAATACATGTCTTGTATTTTTACCAAACCTATCACAATCAAAACTAATATTGTCTTATTGTCTGGATATATATTCTTATATTCTCATCAAATGAAATCATAGGTAGGTCAAAGATCCTAGCCTGTTGGTGCAAAATATTTGTTTAAAATTTGTATGACTTCATGTGGTTATTTAGATTTCTTTAATATTGAGTTTTAGTTCTTTCCATTTTGAAATATTTGTTTTATAATATTTTCAAACCCTGTGCATTTTTTGGACATAAAAAACTGTGTTTGCATGATAAATTATAATAATATGTGACTGAGGAAAATTATATGTTGTGTTTTTACAATTCATCTTATTCTTGATTTATGAATATGTCAAGTCGACCTTCTTAATGTTTTTCTAATGTGTCAGATGAAGTGAAAATAGTTTGATGGCATCCAGTGACAAATGATTCTATTATTATGAAATTGGCTAGGCCTCATTTAAAAAATCTGTCTGAAATGCTTTAGAAAATACAGAAGATTGATTTATGTAAAGATTTGCAAGGGCTATATTGTTGATCTAATTTAACCTCACTCCCCTATTGCATTCAAACAGACTAGTCCATTATTTCAACATGAACCTGCCATCCCTTTATATATCAGGTTAGATTTGCCCTTTGAGCGACCTTTAACTTTTTCACTTCAATAAGGTGTATTTTGTATACTACTTATTGAAAGAAGAGCTTAAGATTTGGTGATATTCTGAGAGGTTAATGTGAAGTAACATGATTTATGTTAACAGGGATATTGTTCATTCTCAGTTCACAGGAATGGAGATCAAAATATGACAAGAAACCCTTGCTAGGAACATTCAAAATTAATGTATTTTTCTGAAATTTTCCAAGATATTCAAAATTTCTTAAGTGCATATGGAAATCAATCCATTTTTGGACTGTAGTCAATGAGTGTGGTTTAAATGAAAACAGCCAATTTTAGAAACCAAGAAAATTTGATTTGGGCTTTATTTATGTGATAAACCAATTCTGATTCTGAATTTTTCTCGAAATTACCTATTATCTTTGCAAACACTGACATAAAGTTCTCTTTAAGAAGTAAAATCAAACAAATGCAAAGTGTAGAATTTTAAATAACCATTAGGTTTTCAAGAATTCACTTTTCTTTGGGATTCATGGTTAATAGGGAATAGTTAACCCCCCCCCTCCATGCAAAAACTAACTACCATCCAGCCCTACTGGTTTTGTATTGTCAAAAAATTTTACAAATCAGAGGGGTTAGGTGAA